GTGTGTGTGTTTGTGTGTGTGGGGGGGTGATTTTACCCCCCCTCCTCCTCCACACCCTCTGGCCTCCTCACCCGCCTCCCAGCTGCTGTGCCTCACCCTCCAAGAACATGAAGGCTGGCTAAGGTTCAACAGTGATAGCAACAGATAACCCTACATGTTCAAAGTTATTCTGACAATTAACAGCTATAGTGGTTAGTGGGATGGTGCATGGGGCATTTAGTCAGCATGTGGCTTTTTTGGTTGATGGTAAATGCAAACATTGCTCTGAGAGTCGCTGAGCACCATTTCTTCAAAGAAACACCCCCCCCCAAAAAAAATAGGCTTCTGCCAAGTGTTTCTCCAATGGTTTTCAGTCTAGTCCAATCATTAACTGGGTATGCACATAGGTATGGTAATCAATTTTCTGCACATCTGCATTTCAAATACTGGGGCAGGCCCTCTCCTCTCCCCATGCAGAAAACAAGGGGGGGGAAATACATCATTCAGCCCATTTTGCCTTGCTAACAAGAAGGAAAATTGCATCTCATTCTTCCACCCTGAACCTTGGCAAATGATATAAAATAGACATGCTGACACATGCACTGATTTATTCTGCTGCTGCTAGCAATGGAAGAAAACAAAAATATTCAGCTTTGCAGCTCACCCTAGTCTGAGATTGCACCAGGCAACTCTAAGGAGGCTTAAGGACTAGAAACTTGCCTTTATAAAAGCACGTATAAATTCTCCCACAAGGAGAGATTCAGCAAACTCAAAAAGCTCAACCTGCTCTTGAATAATTTTCTTTATACACTTTGATGTAGGTACAAACACAAGGAACACAGTATTTTTAGCAAAGCTTTTATGCACCCTTAGAGTACAAGTCCACAGCCACTATGCAGAGCCACTGTTGTTGACAGGATGTCGCTTCCTGAAAACATAAGTCAGGAGACTGCTGTCCCAACAACCTCTCCAACTCAATTTTCTATCCTTGGGTCCAGCTGTGTCTACCTACACTGTGGTATGCTTTATTTAGTGCTTCCTGATCACAAGGTAACCTTATCCTCTCTTACATTTTGAAACTGTATTGGCATAATCCAACAAAGTTGCAGCTCTGTCCCTGAAAAAAAAAGCATCAAATAACTGGATATGTAGAAATTAAAAAAAAATTGAACAAGCCTGTGTCAACTCCACACATTCAATTTACAGCTATTAGAATTTTAATATCTATATTTCGGCCAAAAAGTTGCAGGAAAATGCCAGCATTGTCAAGGAAAGCTATACAGGATCTCAAACTCTGCATCATCTAATGAACAGCATAGTTCACATGGAAGCCTGAGGGTAACTTTCTAATAAAGAGAAGAGGAGGGAAACATGATACAGCTATGATCTCTGGTACACCAGATTTTTCTCTCTGCAAAATCCATTATTTTACTTTCCTTTAATTGTAGATATTACAGTATTCATACATTTTGAATGGCTTTCCACTCCCATTTATTCTACAAGAATTCTACCCATTGCATGCACAAATATTTCTGATTTCTACTGGCCCCCAAGCCTTTAGACTGGGTCTAGTCAAGAGAATAGACTAAGCCACTATTCTCTGCTTACATTATATCTGCATCCACCAATAGCTGCTCAGGTCCGTTAATATTTACCTTGCTTTAATATTGTTAATATTAAAAGACAAGTGGACTTGTTAAGCAACAGCTCTACTGGTAGAAATGTTAAGTAACATCTTGCTACTGTTTTTGTATTCTTTGCACTGGCTTCCAGTCACATGTACTAATATAATACTTGCAGTGTATACATTACCTGTAAAAGGGAAAGACCACCCAAGCACAAAGTCACTGCGGTAGTGCAATCCTATGCATAGTTACTTTATTCAAAATCCACTGGAATGAATGAGCTTAGACTGGAGTAACTCTAGATAGGAACACATTTGTCAGCCTTCTAGCCAACAGCATGACTGGGAGGGAGTTGATTTGAGACCAGAAATCAGGTTTAAAAAAAAAAAAGAAAGAAGCAGCAGCAGCAAAAGTGTGCTATTTGTCCATCACTCCATTAACAGCAACTTTTCAAAGTCTGGCCTTCGAAAGCAAGATAAATACACGTTTAAAGCCCAGGTAGGGGCTGGGATTAAATCTTGCACATAAATGGCTGGAAGGAAAATTATTTCCATGGCAATTGTTTTCTATTGAGATCCAAATTAGTTTCAATTGGACTTCCAAATGTATCAAAGACATTCCTCACAGGTTATTTACATACATGTGCAAATAAAAAAAGTTGTGGAGGATCTTGGTTAAGCAAATCATGCTGAACAATAACTAGTTGGGAAACATATATAGGAAAGTAATCTCTCTGCTTCTTATAGTTACTTCATCCCAGTCAAAAGGGACACCTTTAAAATAACCCATGGAAACCCTTGTGCTACTGCCTGGTGCCTAAGTTTCACTACTACTGCCTTTTTGTGTTTCATGTGTCACCATGGTCATGTCCTGAGCAAAAGGACCATAGTTTTGGCCATTCTTTTTTCCTACATATCATGAGAAAGAACACACAAACACCTGCATTTTAAAAATGTCAAATTCTGCATGAATTAGTGGCACGCTGCTATAAACAGTGAAAATTAATGTTTTTTTACTATTAGAAACTAGCTCAACCATCCTTTGGCATCACAGTTTAAAAAGTTGGTTGTTCTGCCACCTAGTTAAAAGGCACAGCTTCATGTCCACCTGTGCATGTGCATGTGTGTGTGTGTATAAAAAGCATGGACCTATTTTCCAGTTTGATAATGGCAACTCCATAATCTACACCCATACACATGGCAACTCCATAATCTACACCCATACACAGATCAAGACGAAGATGGAATTTACTTAAGCACACCAAACACTGGCTCAGATACTGATGCTCTTGAGGACACCAGCTGTTTCTCATAGCTTCCCCTTCCTTAGGCAGAACCATCTGTACTCTAATGTTCCGAAGCCAATTGATGATAGGAACACTCTGACCTATTTGCCACTAACCCCCCCCACACACACACACACAGCAATACAAGACACCAAGAGGATGTGTGACCATTCTGTCTTGGTTTCTTCAGTTAAAGTCTGCCCAAGAGATTATTTCTAACCCCAGTTACCTAGAGCCTCTTACCTCAAGCTGGCCAAAGGCAGTAGCACCAAGCCAACTGGAATTGCTGTCCATTAAGAAACTGGAATAAGAGGAGCAACATGAACCATAGTTGAGGCTGCACTTCAGAGAAGCCTTTTTCAAGCAGGAAATGTCTGAATGAGCAAACTTTTGTCCAATAAGACTGATAATTATACTGTACCTCTTGAGTCCGAGTCAACATTTTTGCTTACTTTTAAAGTCACTCCAGGTGCTAACCTCATGAAAATAGCTTTATCCACAATATGCCATATACATTTTCAAACACTTATACATATAATTTTAATGTAACAGAAATTAGCAAGTTTCTTAAAAATATTTTGTTGTTAAAAGCTAAAATCTAAGTACCAACAGCAATTAAGACAAAGATATCCAATAATTTGCATAATATTTATAAAATATACTTAAGTCTTTAAAAAAAATCCCCCCAAAGGATTTTTTGTCATCTAGAATACCTTTTTTGGTGTTTCATTATTTCTCAGTATAATGTAAAAACTATTCAAACCCTGTTTTCTTGTGCATTTAAAGATGAACACAAACTGTTAGCACAGCCTCAGCCTTTTCCCAAGAATGCGTCTTTGTTGGCACCCTGTGTATGATACTTTGGTGTTGAAAAAGAAATTCAGAAGCCAAATGCCTGTCCTCAAATGGAACAAAATAAATGCAGTGGGCAGATGACCACAATTTTAGGCACCAAGCATGTCAGTAAGGATGAATGTGAGTATTTAAAAAACCAGCAAGTATAACATATGGTCACCAAAATAGCCTCTCCTTGTGACAATCTGTACAGAGATTCGTTAAACAGAATATACATCAGCAAAAGTGTTTAAATGGCCAGGATAAGCCTAGTGATAATATAGAGTCATCTGCTGGGTCTACTTCCTGGAAAAGGGAAATCGGAGGAGTCTTCTGCTGAATATTATGTAAAAAAATTACAGTTGTAAAACAAAAAATAAACTCTCTTATAAATAACATGTTTTTCAGCATCCAACAATAACTGTAGTTTCACACACTATTTGGTAAATAAAGGAGTTTAAACACAAGGTAACACATAGCTCAAAGTCCCATCACATCACATCTTGTAACACGCATAACCACTCAAATATTCCAAAGTGTAAAATAAAAGCCTCTTAGTTATATATCATAGAACAATATACAAATACAGAGCAAGGTCACAGTAACCAAAAAAAGCAGCCTTTTTCTTTTTAAGCAATGATTTTTCACAAGTGAGAACATCCATCCTACGGGCCAAGCACTATGGAAGGTTCAGTATTATAAGGCGCTCACTCATGGGCAGCTTTGCCCTGATCCCAAACACAATGAAGAACATGACACAGCTCTCTGAGACAGCAGGACTCGTTCTAATGGGTTGTTGTTGGCTGCTAACACCAGCCTTGTAGAGGAAGTTCAAGGTATTGCTTTACTTTTTTGTAAAAAGCTAACATAGGGAAAGCCTATATAGTACATCTGTCTAACGAGACAAGACAATTGCAAAACTTGTAGAAACATATAAGTTTTTTAAAAAGCTTGTATGTTACATGGCTCAGTGCTGGTTTGTTTCCCAAGTATTGAAAATTCAGCTCACATCAAGAAGAGCAACGTGTTTATTAAGGTAAGGATTAGTGTCTTCTCCTGACTGCGGAAAGAAAAACTGACCAGATGAACACTCGATTTCAACAAGAGTTTTACAAAATAAATCTTCAAGTATTTTTTTTATCTTATCACAGTGAAAATGTAAGACCAAAATGTATTAAAGTGAGTGACTGGAAAGTTTCGCAGATGAATCGAAGGCAAAAGTAGTAAAATCAAAACATTTATAAAATGCTTCAACACATTTCCTTCATGTGGTATGAATAGAAAGGTTATCGGTAAAAAGTTAGAAAAATTAAAATAAATTACATATTTAAGTACACTTTCCCTTTCAACATTTTGTATAAAAATCTGGAATAGCATACCACTATCTGAATATACACAGAGTAAAAATGTATCAGATGCTGCTGCTGCAACTGTAACTGTCTGGTATTCTGTACAATGTTCTGTGGGTATAATGTTTATTGTTGGCAGCCATCTTAGCTTGCATCAGTAGACCCAGCTAATGGGGACCCACTGTGGTTCCGTCCTCAGTTTCTCAGTAGCACTTTGCAGTTTTTCAAAGGCTTTGTCTAAATTGTCATTAACAATGACCAGATCAAAATAGTGGCTGTAAGCTCTTTGGATCCGAGCACTCTCATCTACAGTTTTCTTCAAATCAGTGTCCTGTGAGAAGACAAAGAAAAGAGTAGAAACCGTGATATGAACAGGGAGAAAGACAATGAACTTCCAATCTTGGTTTCAACACTAACAAGTACTTTTAAAACATGTTTACTTAGAAAGCATCTTAATTGAATTCAGTGGCACATGATTCTTGTGCCAGTTCCTTACAAATACAATGATATAAGCACCTGGAGAAAAACATTTTTTGTTAGATATGGCTAAAGACATTCCTTCTCAGATTAAAGTATAAAGCATCATGATGCCCATGAGTATGTCTAACCATGGATAACATTTACATACCAGTACACCAGTTGACCAGCATCCTGGTTGAACAAACATTCTTTCAGACAACAGAATGATCAAATTCCCTCCACAGGAAGATTTGTCTGCCCCCCCCCCCCCAAATCACTGTCTTCTGCCAGCAGGTGAAGACAGTGATCCCTCACTCTCATCCTTGTTTATGTGTTGGGGTTTTAATGTTTCCTGCCTCGGGGAACCTAAGATGGGCAGAAAGGTAGTATAAAAATGTTTTACATAAATACAATAATCAGCTCACAGATCCCAGCTTTTTTAATTAAGCAAGCTTCTAGACCAAGTAAAGGATTTGTTTTACTTCAGCCAGGCCATAGCTATACAGAAGACAACCTAGACTGCAGACACCACCTTGATTCCCACACCTGCTCCACAACATCACTTTACACTTCTAGCTCTCAGTCATACATTACTACCCCCAGCCATCACAATATGGGAAACAGACTCCTCTCTCCTTTACCTCAAATACATGAGCTTCATGCCTGCTTAGATACACTTGATGGTACCTACTCACACTGAGCCTTGTTCATGATCTTGCTTTCTCACAAGGGGGGGGGGAGAGGTTACAAGTCATGAAATTGGTCTACAGTTCTAATATTCTTGGAAAGCATGAATGCCCCCTGCTCTTCCATCATGCAAGGGCTGCTGCATGTCACCTATGACTGACAAATATCAATATCCCACAAGCAGCCTGGTGGTAAATCAGTAACAGTACACAGTTCGAAGGTCACATCCCTTGACAGGAACTGGAAACTGTGTGTTCAATTAACCACCCACATAAATAAATGAATAAAGGAACAGCCGTTTCTCCAAGCTACACACTTTTTAAGAATCCACAAGACTTTTAAAAGGTATCCAAGGAAAAAGGGAAAAAAAAAACCTGGCAGGGAGAATTCGCCTACTCAGAACTCCTGGAAGGCAGGAGGCAGTTTAAAAGGAAGGAATGGAAAAAAGAGTCTGCAACAACACCTAATGAATCAGGGACAACATGCAATGAGTTCAAAGACAGGTAAGGGAAGAAGGCAGGGCCTCAAGAGGGTCACTAACATTTGTTATAGTTGTACAACACAGATGCTAATTGGTCAACATTTGATGACGTCTATTGTTAAAAAGAAAGTGCTTCCTTACTGTTAGAAGTTTGGTTGTAATTCCGGCATCCACCACTGCTTTGTGCATGGTACGCAGAGTCTCTAGCTCTGGAGCAGCAATGAAAACAACATAGGGCATAAACTCTGCTGTTCGGAGTATTTTCAGGGCCTGAAGAGAACAGAGGATTAGCCAGATCCACCAAAATGTTGAATAACAATCAGAAAACACTATCAATACAACAACCCAACACGCTAAAAGAAGGCAACAACCATTTTGTACACTGTGCCACCCTGAAAGACTGCTACCTTTTTAACAGTCAACACTTTCAAACAAAAAACCTATGCTCTCTTAAGATTGCTTTTGTTAAAAAGGTATAAACAAATAACACACACTCCTTCACTTACTTCAGCAAGGCAAAACCCCATGACAACAGATGCCACACAGCTATTTTCAAAGGTACCCCCCCTTCCTGTGGTAATGCTTCTGCTGAAGTATTTTTGCCATGCCATACCTGTGGATTCACATCCAAAATGCACGTCCTTCCAGTCTGAACCACTTCGAGGATAGAATCTATTTTGGTGCCATAAAGGTTTCCTTCATATTCCCCATGTTCCAAGTATCTGCCTGCTTTAATATCTGCTTCCATTTCAGGTCGTGACACAAATCTGTATGCTTGCCCATCTTTTTCATCATCCCTTGGCTTTCGTGATGTAACTAGACAAATGTGACAGAATGCACACATTTAACAAGCAACAAAAACAAGACTTGCATAGCTGGGTTGGTTGTTTTTAAAAAAGCTCAGGGGCACTTTATATAACTATCAGATAGCTTGGTTGTTCTTTGAATTCCTCACATATGTAAATATTCTTTCTGCTCACAAGAGGATTTCAGCAGCAGTGCTTAAGGGTACATGTATTATACCTAGTCAGAACATTGGTCTATCAAGGCCAGTACTGTCTACTCTGACCGGCAGCAGAACTACTACCTGGTCTTTTTTTAAACTGCTGGTGTTGGGGACTGAACCTGGGTCCTTCTGCATACAAGAAGGATATGCACTAACATGGAACCACAGCCCTTTCTCTACAGGAATTTTGGAGTTTTAAATTATTGTATTTATGGAATATAATATTTGAGAGAACTAGAGAGGTAGCTATGTTATCCGTAGCTGCAAAAACCAAAATGGTTTCTGGCAACTGGCGGAATTCTATTCCACCATAATTTTTGTGAACTAGAGCCTGCTTTTTCAGATTCAACACACTTTTTCCTTACTCAACTATATTCCTCATCACAGATTCTAACAGCTGCTTCACATCACTACAGAGACTCAGACCAAAAGCCAATCTTTGAAATTTAAGTGAGAACAGGAATACAACACTGTGTTTGGGAACAAAACTGGTAGCCAGTGAAGATCTTTAAGCACTGGTGACAGATGTGATGAAACCTGCAGGCTCCAGTTAATACCATGACCAATACATTTCCAACTGGCTGACACTCCTGTACTTAGTTATTCACATACTCCCACCACCACCTTTCTCCCCAGTGGGTCCCAAAATGGCTTACATCATTCTCTTCTCCATTTTATCTTCACAACAAGAGTACCGGATCGGCCCAAGGTCACCCAGCAAACTGCCATAGCAGGGTAGTGATTCAAACCTGGGTCTCCTAGATCCCAGTTTGACACTCTAACCACTACAGCACACTGCCTCTCCCAAGTACATGAGAGGCCTCAACAGTGCAACACATCTGTGCAGGTGATGTTTTCAGTCTTTTGTTTGCTTTTGCAGATTCCAGGTACTAACTGCTACCAGGCTAGAGTGAGCATTCCTTGGTACTGGGTTCCATGGTCTGGTCAGAAGGTACCCCATCTGAGCAGGCAGAATGGACCTTTGACTTGGTGTTTGGAAATCCCCCCAAATAACAGTCGGTGGAGGCTTCATCCATGCATGGGTGACCTCACATGGCCATGGTCAGAACTTTCTTGGTCTCTATGACTATCTATGGCTGTCCTAGTGCTGACAGTACCTCTTCCAAATCTTGAGATGTCACCCCACTCCCCATCTAGTGTCATGTAGATGACAAAGACCATGGGAGACAAGACAACAACTCAAGTTCTTACCTTAAATCTCTTAACTGCATAACCCCTAGGACCCAAACAACCCTCTGCTTCCATACCACCCTGCCTATGCATTCACCAAAGACTTGGGACAGCATTCAGTTGACATTTCTGGATCTGCTTTTGCCTGCTGTAAGTTTTGATTGTAAAAATTTGTTAGAGTCCTTTAAAATTTTAATTGTAAATTATCTTTGGGGCCTGGATTAAGGAAAAAACTGAGCAGAAAATTTTAAATGAATAAAATCAAATTAGAAACAATTTTCTTGGCATGAGAAAATTTTCTAGCAGTAAAGTGACAAACATTCTCAAGCCCTTGAGACTACAGAGCTAACATATAGTACAATATCTACCCCAGCCTCACATTACAACAGGTGTAAAAGGAGGGAGGATCAATAACCTAGAAAGGAAATGTGGATAATCTATTAACAAATTTACGCATCGCTGAACAATCTACCAATTAAAAACAGCAACTTACATGGCACAGTGGTTCCAAATTTGGTGGGATTCAATACAATAAATCTGTTTTTCAAACTTCTTCGACCAACTCCCTGGGCTCCAATTAAGACCAGTGTTTTTCTCTGAAATGGAGGCATTTTGGCTACTTCCTCATATATCTGAATTTCATGACGATCAAATTCTTAATGCAAAAAAGTAAAACATATTAAAACTAAAACATTACATTTAAAAATCAGGTTTCAACAATCAAGTAATTATAACCATCAAGATATACAAGATATCATCAAGGCTATGCAAGATTTTCTTTGATCATTTTCTTAGGGTTCATATACTTAAAAGCAGAGTTAGCTTAGCAGTATCTACAATACACTGTTTTGGACCTACTACTGTAATACTTACTTGGTATTTAACTTTTTATTTCTTATGCTATTCATCATGCAAATGATTTAACAAAAGAATTCACTACAGTCAGTTTCAGTTCGAAATGACATATTGCAAAGTCCTCTGCACAATGAAAACTACTATAGAAATGCATAACTAATAAAAATTGGGGTTTTCTCTGAATTGGCTGACAAACTTGTACAAGCCACCACATTTTATATGCAGTGTTCCATTATAAATCTCTCCTTATATATAATTGTATTTTGGTGGTGGCACTTCATGAACATTCCACATGCTCCCAAATCAGTTGGCTCCGTGATGTGTCATTCAGAAGCTGTCCCTATCCACTGGCTGCATTGCCTGAGTCTCGCCTCCAATATTCTAAACAGTTTGCTGTTCCTCTCCCCACAATAGCCAGTCAGAACACAGAGGTCATTTGCATATGCGGCCTGATTGGCCTTTGCCTCTAACATTCTAAACAGTTTGCTGTTGCTGTTGAGAGCCACTGAATGTGTCCTGAGGTAAAATGTGTCCCAATATTCTCTTAAACAGTCACTGGAGTTGCCATGTCCTAATCTTCTCTTAAACAGTCACTGGAGTTGCCAAAATACATATCCCAATCTTCCCTAAAATGGTCACTGGAGCTGCCAATCTTCCTGTAGGGCCTAGAGATCTCCCAGAAATCACCGTGTTCCCCAGCCACAGCACATCATTTCCCCTACAGAAAATTTCCCAAC